TAGAAGAACCCCCAATATTCAGCATAGTTCCATCCAGATGTAGGGAACAGGTATATGTGTTCAGCAAATCTATTGTTTAAAGCAGACTTTCTCAACTTGGGTGCCATCTGGCTTCCTCTGGGGTGCCACAAACTTCCACAGAGTGATGTGGTTCCATGGTGCAGGCAGGCTGGGGAAGTGGGATTCTTGATGTTATAGGGGGATTCTTTTTTTTTTTGGCGGGGATATGGTTCTGGTATGGATTTTGGGTAGTCCACACATTGTTTTTTTACATTTTGGAGTGGGGCGCCTCAACATTTTGCATACTTTTAAAGGGTGCTGTGACCGAAATTAGTTTGAGAAATGCTTTAAGGAAATTTGTCCTGAGGCATTCAGGGGTGTTTAAAAAATTACTCGTCCAAGGACTAAAGCAAGGGCCCAATGACAATCTACTTGTCATGATACAAACAACCAAAACTGTATTTAACTGTGCTAAGAAGCGCTTTTCATTGGACCAATGAGTGAAATTCAAAATCCATAAATAATCCATGCGTTTATTTGCATGCAGATGGTGGGGGTAGCAGGTTTTTTTTTTCTTTTACTTTTTTCTACAAAATTTTTTTTTTATTTTTTCTTCATAACTTTATTCCTGTCAGACAGGCTAACAACCCCTATGCATTTGTAGGTGACATGTTCTCTTTATGGAGTCTGCCCTCCAATAAAGCCTGACGCAGGGCTAAATGTAGAAAACAAAACACCTGTCTGGTGCCCAGAACTGCGTGTCCCGTGTGTCAGGCTATAGGAATCCAACACCCCTGGGCATTCATTGGTTAATTTGCTTCCCTTGCTGACTCTTCCTCCAGTTGCTTCACGTTTACTAGGTTAAATAAAAACAGACATAGATAGGGTGGACTTTGTGCAGTTAATAGGGGTGAAGAGGCCTTCTGAATGTTCCATTACTGAAGCTCCATGATTGACTTCACATTTTATACAATTCTGCAAAAGGCAGTTTATGTTCAACCCGATTTGTGCTGGGAGCTGGGTAGTGGGAGTTCTTTTTATGGTGTGTAACAGCATACTTGCACATCATTATTTACACAGCACTTTATATCAGGGCTGGACAAATCCCATGAGCTAGGCCACCACTTATTTAAAAACTACAGGTTGCGCCTAACTTTTTTGAGGTTTTTGCTAGTAGTTGTCCATTGAGCTGACTACTAAGAAAATCCTGCTGGCTCCTGAATTCTATATTTATTTGTCCACCTCTTTACATATTGTACATTTACATCAGTCCCTGTACTCCAGGAGCTTACGATCTAAGGGCCCTATCTCACATCTATACATTCACATACTAGGGCCAGTTATTCTAAAATGATGTATTTGGCGTGTGGAAGGAAAATCATGCAAACTCCATGCAGAGAGTGTCTTGGTTGTCTTGAAGTCCATCACTCCGGTGATGGACTTCATTCACATGTTTAGTTTACTAATTTGTATTGAAGTTATAGACCAGGGGTCCCAAACTCAATTTACTCAGGGGCCACTGGACAAATTTTTTAGTCCCTTGGGGGCTGCGGCTATATATGGTACCAGTGTTAATGTCTGCACATATTACAAGCGACAACTGTCACCCATTCGAGTTAATGATCAGGTGACAGCCACTGCATGTAATCATATGTGAAAGGATTAAATGCAGTCAGGAATCAATCACTCTCCCTGGATACACAATTGTGTATCCAGGGAGAGTGATTGTTTTTGTAACTGCATGTTTTTGTAACTGCATGTAATCATATCACATATGCAGGCGTGTACATGCAGCGGCTGTCACCTGATCATTAACTTGAATGAGTAACAGTTGCTGCATGTAAATGCCAGATTAGGGATTCCTGTGCAGGAAAACGCAAGTTTGTGACACAGGAATCCCTAATCGCACCTGAAATATAGGTGTGAATGGGGCCTAATAAATATACTGTACACACACACTCCCCCCCGCCGCTGTGCCCC